CGGAACGAATCGGATAGGCGTTCAGAGTTCAGGGCTAGGAGGGTGGGGAGCTGGGACCAGGTGAGGAGGGAGGAGAGGTAGAGGGAGGCGATGTTCGAGGTGTGGCTTGTGGTCATTAGGGCCATTGCGGAGCAGAGCTGGGGGTTTTGTTGGGATATGAGACAGCCCTGAGTATGTTAGATGAAGTTCAAAGTGAGGATACGGCTCTTATAAGAGCGGACTTACCACTCTGAACCCACTAGAGCCAAACAATTTACTCGCACTCCACACTACATGCACTCGACTCGGATCGACCTTGACAGCGCCCTCAGGCACCAACGGCTCCGTCAGCGAGAGTGCTGATACGAATGCTGGGGCATTATCTGGAGCACCTTTGAGCCCCGAGAGAGCATACAATTCGTCGGAAATTAAATGCAGCCCTCGCTCTTGACAGAACTCCATGCATTCGACGAGGGACTTCTTAGGGTAGCATCGTGAGAGAGGGTTATGTGGATTGCATATCAGCACTGCCTTGATGCGCGACTTGTCAGCTGAAAAGTCGTATGCCGCCTGGAGAGAGGGGAGAAGGTAATTGTCGTAGTTTTGGTAGGTGGGTGGATGGGCGACGATGATGTTGACGTTGGCTCGGACTTTAAGCATTGACTCGAAGCCATCTGTGGTTGTTCAGCCTTGTGGAACACGTATACGAGGCACGCGAGATGGAAAAGTAAAGCCTTACACCAATATGGCCCTGGTACGATGACACTGTCGCCATCGTCGCATACAGCATGTATCACGTTTTCGATAGCATCACTTGCTCCCGCAGTGAGGACGATGTGCTCGGGGGACACGGGATGGATAGGGTTGAAGTGCGAATTGAAGAAAGATGTTAGAGCATTACGAAGGTCAACATCTCCACCGCCTGGGGTTGGTAGTGCAAATGTCTGAGAAGCGATTAATCTAAGGTCTGAATCTCTCAAATAAGGCCGGCATGTCTCACCTTTTCTACGAGTCTGTTCTCCACCGTTGTCTTAAAGAACTCCATGAGTTCGCTGCGCAGAACTTCATTTTGGGCGCAAGACAAATCGATTGCGGTGGTGGGATCGTAAAGCTTATGTGGGGCAATCGCGTCGAGTCTTGGGAGGAGTTCGTCGAGAGTCTTGCTCATGCGCGTGGAAAGGCCCGAGTCCATCTTGAAGCCGATCATACGAAGAGAGAAACGAAGCTAACAAGCCGATGTGAGGAATTGGCAAAGTTGTCGTTGCGGCATAGAATAAGGGTTCATGTCATATCCACATTTCAGTCGCGGGAGGGCCCAATGTTGGTCAGTTGAAAGCCAGTTGGTTGGGACGAGCTGTGCCGCAAGGAAGGGTTCTAGCTGCAGGAGCAGCGAAACAGTTCGCTTATCAGGCGTGGATTGGGACCCAGGTCGATGCAGTTGCTGTCGCTGGTTCGTTGTTCAAGGCCGCAATCGCTGCATGGCGTTCTGAAGGTAGACGGCCCCGCATGCCTATTCTCTGCCGACGCCGCCCTGGGGAGCAGAGACAGCATGTATATCGAATCAGAGTGCAGGCCGGCGTCGGCTTGAATCGCGCACACCTCTTCTAGAAGAAATAAGACCGTGGATAGACCAATAGTGTCGGAGATAGATTGATGGAGTCGTCAGGTACCACCCCGCTGGTTCGGTGTCCCTAGGGTAGGATTTTGCGATGCCTGCGCATTGTTGCGTACATACATGGCGTCGCAGTCAGCTGTTCACATGCAGGGGCGGGTCGCAATCACATCCCCTTACGCACCCGGGAGAGACAGATTGGTATCCTCCGCAATGAGTGCACATCTAGTCGTCTTATCTCGTATGCTGTTTCATACGCTGAAAAGAAATACTGTGGAGCTGGAGAGCTGGGGATCCGGCATTAGTAACAAAGGTCGAAGAGCTACACCTCTCTACCTACTGCAGCGGGAGGACATGATGCTGGGCGTGATGTTGGGGTGTCAAGTCTGATGGCGAAAGATGACAGGTGTGGTGTTTGAGGGACGCAGCTCCTCACAATCGGCTTTCCAAATCCGGCTGAGCTGAGGCAAGCTGTCAGCCCAAGAAGCAGTTACAATATCTTTGTTACAGATGTCCAACCAAAGCTCAACCCAAATTTTTAGGAGCACTTTAAATACGGATTAAGAATTTAAATAGCGCGCTATGATGAGTTCTCAACGCCACGCAATGCAATGCAGCAAGATATAAGAATGCTCCTCATGACGCTGCTTCAGCCTACACCATAGTCCTCGGCTCCACCCTCATCCTCCCTTCTTCCAAACTCGACCGTCTCGACTGCTCATCTCTCCCACGGTACCCTCTATGCGCATCCGAAACCGGTGACGGCGTGTTCTCCCTCTGATCCCTCACCGGCCCATAAACACGTACCGTACCATCCAACTCTAACGTACGGCTTCTCCTGGGTCCGCTAAACCAGCCCCTGATCCCGATCTTAGACGCCTGGGGATCCCTAGCCCCATCGTACGACTTCTTGACGAAAGCGATATAGATGGCCTTCATGATATCCATCAAATTCGCCGCATCCCGCACCGCCTGCGACACCGACAATCTCTGCTCACCACCCTGCTCGTCCTCATGATACATTCTACTCCGGAACGCCCAATGGAATGCGAGTGAGAAGCAGAGCGCTTGGAACGCCGTGATCATCATCGGGAGCCCGTAGTACAAGTCATTGTACGTGAACTTTGCGCTGGGCTTGAACGTCTTGCCGTTTAGAATGCCGAATATGACGTCGAGTAAGAACTGGAAGATGACTATGCCTTTGAAGGCTACGAGTTTGGCGAGCGCGTGGTGTTTGCGGGGAAAGACGGGCTTGAGACGCCCGTAGAATTTGAAGAGCGCGGTTAGGGCAGGGCCGAGGATGAAGATGTCAATGAGGAGCAGCCAGAGGTGCGCGTAGTCTGGGGAGAGCGAGTTTGCGCAGTAGACGTTGCCGGCTTGGGTGCCGATTTCGGCTATGGTGAGGAGAGCTTTCATAAGTGGGAATTGGAGGACGCAAACCCAGGTGCGCTGACTGTGTTAACGACGTGGATCTTAAAAAGGGGGGAGAGTTACGCACGTTGAACCAGAGGAGACTCCCTCCAGGGATGACATTACCCTTCTTGTCTTTGTTCTCCACTGCACTGAAGTATGCCGTCCGCTTTTCCTCCTCGGGACACACATACTCGAGGAAGAGAAAGAAGAGTCCGGCGACGCAGAAAGCCTCATACGCTGCCATGAGTGGTTTGAGGTATATCGACTGTTGGTAGAACAGAACCGAGAGCAGAGAGACTATGGCGAAAAACATGGGCATAGAAACAATGCGGACAATCTGCCTCTGCTCCTTGGGAACAGTGTACCGACGGAGATGCTTCGAAGCAAGCGTGATGGCACTGATAGTCGTAAGGCACACACAAATAGCCGTGATACATATCATGAGCGTCTTGAAAGTTATCCCAATAGATAACCGCTCCCCATGGTCATTGGTCTCTGGACGCGCACAGGTGAAGTTGGACGGAGCATCGTCGTCGTCGTCGCGGGCGAGGAGACTGCGAGAGAAAATAGTGTCAAGAGAGATATGTGAATGCATAGTGAATGGTAGCAATGATGGAATGAGAGTGCGAGACTTCTATTGAGGCCGTAGATAGACTTTATATAGAGCAAGCCCCGCGTAAAAGAGACCCCAAGCTATGAATAAGAGACTTGAGCCTTGCATAGAAGAAACTCCTTATAACCACCACAGCCACGGAGGTCCACCTCACTTCTCGGATTTACGGGCGAATCGCATCTTCAATAGCATACAAGTCGGTGCGTGAGTCGGCCAGAGAGTTTCACAGAGGCTCAGCTCGGGTTTATAAGGATGAGGTGGCGCACCATCGCAACTTTGTTGCCTTTTTGAGAATGCTGGGCGGACCAATCGTATCTAAGTTGAGATGGCGCTTGTCTAGTCTTGATTAGCTTCCAACTCGAGATGACAGGATCCTAAGGCGATGACCGGTAACCCGCAAGGTTGTGTTCGTCAACAACTGAATAGGAAGAAATGTATGCAAGTATGTAATTCGTGTTTACGCAGTTTGGAGGTTGCATTGTGGCAGCTTTTCTCGCAGACGCAAAGAGAAGGGATATGTCCGGAGACAAGCAAATGGGCGTATACACTGCTCTGAACACCTTGTGCAAGTTGTTTAGACACCGCTCCTTATCTGTGTGCCCATCAAGAGCGAAAGGCTCTCATTTATACTTCTCCGGTGGATGATACCCTTACCTTCTCGCGAGCCATTGGCGGACATGTTGGAGTGTAGAACTGGCCCATCGTTAAGTCGACCGAGGGACTACCAGCAGCGATATATCCTGACCGTCACATATCCGCTCTCTTCTTCCAGGCCAATAGCAGTAGCCCATATTCTCAAATGGCACGTATGATGTGGCCCAGCGCTATCATAGCGGCTGTTCCTCTCTAGCTGAACGCAGCGGTTTGCAGAGGCTATATGGTTCGCATCGCATCCATCGGCTCTCCAGCGAGTATAATCTATTTACAGCACCATACTGTAGTAGTTACAGACGCCTCAGTGTCTGAGTTCGAGATGTAGGAAGGTCTGGCGGCGCGTGGATGAGGGAGGTCGGAGGGAAGGATCGCTGTGTCGAAGGTCTGCGCACACAGTAGGGTCATAGCGAGAGGACGGCGGGGTATATGGGTCGCTAGGAAGAGCCGGGGAGTCTGTCCGGTTAGCCGGTGGTGGTGGTGGTGGTGGTGGTGGTGTAGCTGTTGTTGTTGGAGGTCTGGAGACTGCCAATGTTGACCCTCAAGCCTCAAGGCTAAGCGCCCCACTTATTCCAGTCCGACCCCGCTACTCAACAATTAGCGCATCATTTAGCTCCGCACACAAAGTCTTTCAATATTGTGGCAAGATCTTGTTCGAGTTATGGAATCATGATTCCAGTCGTATAAGTAGCTTTCAACTTCCTGACTTCTATAATTCAATTAATCTTGATAGCCCTCGTAGCTCAGTGGTAGAGCGCATCACTAGTATATCATGAACCATGATGATAATGATGAGGTCGTCAGTTCAATTCTGGCCGAGGGCAATTTCGCCTTTCTTTTTGCTCTCTTTTTCACATTCACAGCGCAACCCAGTTGGTATATATACATACATACAGCAGGTTTTTATTTTTCGGCTTGGCTATCTGTCTGTCCTCTTTTTGTGTTCCGGCGTGAAACAATGGCGCATTGCGATCTCACTCACATAAAGATGGAGTTATTATACATACCACCAACTTCATGACATCTCACAATATTTCGGTCTGTTCTTTGTACCACTTTTATTCATATATTGCCGTTGTCAATCCTTCAAACGATAGCGCAGTTACAAGATGCTTACTATCTATTTTCAAGAGCTATGGCAACGATCAAGCATAGCTGAAGTAAGACAATATCTCTCTCTCTCATCAAAGGACGATCACGACTACCATTGCAGCTTAAATGTTTCATATCTAATTTGTACTCATCAGCAACGCGGCCTAAGCTCCTGCACTGTGAGTATGAAGACTCTTCCCCTCATCCCTGATCACTGTTGTCCTGGATGAAAGTGGGCGTGAGGCTGTCCTACGGGTTGATATGATGAAGTCGTTGGCGGTTCAGTAGGCGAAGGAGCATAAGCTTGCTCGTTAAAGGTATGCCCTCCATAGCTTTGTTGCGGGCTGAGGCTGAAAGAACCGTGCGGTGAGTACTGGGCCGGCACAGGAACACTGTAGTAAGGTTGTGGGTAGGGCGGCGTTGCGTAAAACATCTGCTGAGATGGGGGATATCCATACGGGCCATATTGAGTCTGAATCGGAGCTGGGAATGGATATTGCTGCTGCCCAGGCAGCGGAGCGGAATAGGCCTGTTGAGGTGCAAGTGGTTGAGCGAATGGTGCGGGATGATATGGCGACACGTTGCCCTTCTTGTTCTTGTGTAAAAATATGGATGGGAGAGCGTCTTTTGCCTGTTCGCGTGCGTGGCGGACGAGTGAGTGTTCGAATATCGCGCTCATTTCCTCTAGCGAGACGGCTTTGTTGGTGCAAGGGACGAAGAAGTAGATCAAGAGAAAGCCAAGGGTACTGAGGCCGCTATCCGTTGTCAATGTAAGGTACCGACTAGGGCTGTTCTGAACTTACGTGAAGATGCCAAAGAGACCGACAGGGCTCCAGGCTAAGGCTTGTGGGACCGAAAGAGTGAGCATACCCGCACCTATTGCACTACTCAGTCATCATTTTGAATTATGAAGACCCAAAATCACTTACCAAAGAAGTTTACGAAAACGCCTACTGACATCTACTCGATGATTTACAATTAGCACAACACGATCTCCCGCCGCCATGCCAGTGTGAGGTATTACTTACGCCTACATCTCGCGCTTCGTTTGGCCAAACTTCCGCTGAGTATAGGAATGGCACGGCGCCTACACCCGGCGAATAACACATAGCAAGGAAGAAAACGAAAGCTGCAACCGCTGGTGCCTTGTGGGGGCTATCCGAAGAGAGTGTCGACAGGCCAGCCAGTCCTCCTAGCATAGCGGTACCGCTTGCCATCGATATTAGCAATAGCCGTCTTCGCCCGCGCAGTAGACGTTGTAGTTCGAGCATCTTTCTCTGTTGGTGTTTCCTCTTCTTAGTCCCAAAGGTCGCATTGGCTCCGGGGTTGACCGCAGACAGGTCCTCCAGCGAAGAGTCAACGGGGAGTGGCTCGACCAGAAAGTAGGCAATGGCAGAACAAACAAGGGTTGCCGTAGCAAATCCAAGGCTCAGTTTTAGGTTGTTCTCTGTCCGAAAATTGTCAAATTTCAGCTTTTCATTTTTGCAATCTCCTTCTACGCTGAGGCCGTTCTCAATCATCTCTCTGCATTCTCCGCCTACGTGTAATTTGTCGAGATCAAGGTTCATGGCACTGTAAAAATTGGTTCCGAGAAAAGCGAATATACTTTGGGCGATCAGCGTTTGCTCCAATACGCACGCTATGGAACGACTTACTTTATGCCGGACAATTGCTGGCTCATCATGACAATTAGTGTGGCAAATAAAGCACGCCGATTCCTTACAAGAACGAGTAGTCGCCATACGCGTCCTAAATAGCTAATAGGGGTCTCATAGTTCGCAAAATCTGCCTCCTTCTTGTGGCGTGCTAGAGCTCTTTCCGTTTGGATTTGGAAATATGTGTAGCAAAATTCTTCTGCAGCCAACAATCTCTCTTTCCTCAACTGTATGAGTGTCGCGTACGCTTCTATGTATCTTTCTTGAACGATAAGCCATCGTGGGCTTTCACATCCAATATATACTAGAAGGAGAAGGACGAGCGCGGGTAGGGCACCACTCATGATCTGATACCGCCATTCGTCTTTGAATAAGTAGGTGGCTCCGGTTCCAGTCAATAGACCCGCGGATACAAAGACCTGCCAGGAGACAAGTACCCGGCCGCGTTTGGCTGGCGGGAGTACTTCAGACTCCCATATCGGAACGATGGCTGCTTTTGCCCCAATGCCAACGCCGAGAACCACTCTCCAGACCAGTAGCTGCCGCCAACTATGGCTACGGGACCCTCCAATAGATCCAGTAAGACTCAAGCAAGCGGCGATCAGGACTGAACCACGACGACCAAGCCGGGTCGCATTGCAGAACGGGTCAATTAGAAGTGGCCCAGTCATTGCTGCAAACCACAGGACTGCGTTCACTGTTCCGAACTCCCAAGCATCCCAGTCCTCTCTCTTGATGGCGAGAGGTTTGACTCCGAACGCGTCTGGCCACCCAAGATTTCCGTTTGCAGCTTGATCCCACCCTTGGACCATGGGTGCAATGCAACATATCGCGAGTGTTACCAGGAGGGCTTTGGGCTCTTTCCAAAACTTCTTCGATTTTTGAATTTCGAGCGCCTCCCAGTCGTGTGCCTCAAGGACCCCTTTGACAGTGTGCATGGATGGTGTAAAGCGCTCTGGTGCGACATGGTCCGGGTCATCGCTTGGATCTCGCTCATGATTCGCATAATCTGTAGGAGAAGCACGATATTAGCGCGCGTTCCGCAACACTGAGCGGGTAGGATGAAGATGTACTTACTACTTCTAGCCAATCTCGCGCCGATAAACAGCTCCTCTTCGGTGACAGACTTTTTGTCCTTGAACACTTTGTCGAAGAGGGTTTTCACGTGGCGGTCTAGCTCATCCAGCTCAAGTAACTCCAGCGGATTTTGTTTCATTCGATCCCCGGAGTCATGCTTCTCTTCGGAGTCAGCCTCATATTGATACTCGGTAGGAATGGTGGTATCAATCGAGTCGACGGGAAACATCGACGATGGATTTTGCTGCTCCTGGATTGGTAGGCCATTGGAACCCTGATTGTAAGTCGCCATAATGAATGGCACTTGATGGGTTGAACAATGTCATGTCAAAATTTGTGGTGGTTTGACAAGGCTCAGTTTTTATTCCCTCATCAACCCAATTGCAGGCAACGTTCGCCCCCAAGATGGTCCTGCACAAGATCTCTTCGAAGCTCCAATCTCGTGGCATGGCCCCCGCACCAACGATCGACAAGCCACCGACCGGTCAATGAAGGTCTGGAATGAGCATTATTAACCGTTCAAGAATTTTCTGATAGGTCAAATGGTTCCATCACACGGTACAAGAATGCATGCACGGTGTTGGCTTTTCGTATTTCCTTCCTTAATATTTCCTACTTCAAGAAAATCGCCGGAATTGGTAGAGCTTGTCGCATGGGCACATAATCTTACCACTCACGGAAAACATGGCTGGAACTTATTGGATGGCATAGACACAGCCTGCAATAAACTCTCAGTTGTGCCGTCTTTGCATTTGCGCGATACCCGTATGAGACCTTATCACCCTAAGCCCCCAACACGTGTGAGCATGGACACAGGGTTCGCGATACTTACGGACTGCGCTCCACACTTTGCGATCTTCTCAACCATTTACATAGCCTATCTTCGTATCAATGGGAATAACTGCAGTAGGGGAGCGTATTTCTAGCGTGTCTTGTTCGATCCTTCAAGAAGTGAGGCAGACGCGCCAATCGCCAGCTTGCGGGGTTCTTGAAGATCAGCAAATACGAATTCGACACGGAGACTCCGGTTTGGCATTGCTAACCCGTGGATTCTATTGCCGAACTTGTAGCTCTAGTCAGCTCTGGAACTGTCACTAATGTACAGCGCACGAAGCTGACGGGGTATTTTCAACTTCTATAAACGACGCTAGCAATCTGCGTGGGGGGCTGCACAGACTCTCCCACTCTCATTCACAAAAATATCTCCCAACCTCACCTTGTTACTGTATATATACTATTTAATGGTACAAACTATTATCAATTCAACCTAATGCTAAAAGTAGTCCAGTTTACCTCAGGCTATTCACACTAGTCAACATAGGTCCGCCAGTCAAGTACTGCCTGCGGGTAACTCCAAAGGAACCTGGCAGCCACTACGCCGGGGCTCGAATCTGAGATCCAGAACTATGTGTGGCATTCTGGAGGGAGATGTTACCGGGTTCTTCTTCAAGAGATCTTGTGAACTCCTTTTTTTTCTTTTACGTTGTTTTGTTTTCTTTGTTGTATTACTTTGGCGGAGTTGGGACGAAGATTGCGGTCGCGGCGGGCGACGGCCTGTGCAAAAAAAACGATACACTTCTAGATCATAGGTAGCCGCCGTACCCCGTATCCTCGACGAAACTGCCTCCATACACAACATCTTCCAGAATTCCACTTTCCGGGAAGCCCGAACGAAGGACATCCTCACTCGGATCGGTAAAGTTAAGTTGTCCATGACCATTCTATTCGTTCGCCAATGGCTCAGTCTGTTGAACAAGAGGCTCATTGCTGGTCGAAGTGAGGACCTGGGTCGTTTTTGCATCAAAATCTATCTGAAGTGCCACATTCGTCCACGGCTTGGGCGTAAATGCGTCATGAAAGCGTCTCAGATCCCGTGCCGGTATTTCCTTTGAGCACGAGTTCATCCTTCGTAGAGCGGCCGCGGCCCAGTAATGTAATGTTGTGAAACAAAAGATGTTGACCACGAAGTTGCCACGCTCGAGGAACACAAAGGAGCACTC